TTTTGTTATCGCTATTGTTGTTTTTTGAGAAAAGTTGCTCTTATCATCAGTCTTCATCGAACAGTCTGGATCACGAGACTTTTTTTAAAGACAACAAATCATAAGAATGTTAAAAAATTTATCAAAGCGATTACGTGTTTAATGATGCCCCAAAGACTCATTTAATAATTAATTAATAATATAATTTTATAATAAACTGCTTTGAACTGGACCGGCCTCTGACTCGGACCGAGAGGGGGCGCCGACATTAAACTAAGTGGGCCCACATTCGTTTCCGACAAGTCGTACCGACACCTACGTCACATTACAAATCTACCCCCTCAAACGACAAAGCAACAAAGGAAAAGTCAACGTGGTATTCTCGTAATTAGTAAAAAGAAACGAGGCTAATTTAAGGTAGTTAAAGAGTTTTTAGCCGCATCTTCATTTGAAAGTTAAATAGCGTAAATTTCAAAAACCACCCTATCATTTTGATAATTACACTTTCTTTTGAGTGCGAAGCTTTAAAACTCTTTATCTCATCTGGAAGGAGACAGAAGAGCAGAGGACAAGAGATTATCTCAAAGTTCGCTCAAACTCAATCCTGGTGAGGATAAGGTATGGGTTTCTTTTTTAGGGTTTTGAAATTGGCTATTTGTACGTTTGTTTGGGTGTAAAAGTTTACGAATTTGACCATTTTTGCGTTGATTCCCTTATTATCTCTGGGTTTTTTGAGGTACGCCGGAGTTAGAATCTTTGATCTTGTGATAAAATCATTTTCCTTTGATGCCAAGTATCACAGTCGAAGAAAGTTTGGGTCTTTGGTTGTAACTAGCTTAACCGTCGTTCTAAATTTTGATTGTTTTAGGTTTCAGTTGATTGGTTTTGATGAAATTGATTTGTTATCTTACTGCAAAATTTGGTTGTATGACTGTTGTACAGTTTTGTACTAATTTCCATTTACTCCACTTTTTAAAAGATTGTAGCTTTCGTTGAAATTAGTTAAAGGTACAGCTTTTACTCGTAATTTTGGAGTAAATTCCCATGATTCAGTATCTTTATACTGTTTCTATGTTTGATGATAAACAGAGAATTCGATTCTCGGGTCGATGACAAGGGTAACCCATGAATCTGGAGATGGGATGCAAAAGGATGCGATTCTATCAGCGTCGTCTGATGTGAATTTTGCCTCAGATAAGTTTCCAGATTATGAGATAGGAGCCAACAATATAATTATAGAGCCAGAGGAGAGTCCTAAAGTTCCATCTCTTAAGGAGATCGTTGCGAAGGAGACTGCTCTTCTGCTGGATCAGCAGAAACGATTGTCAGTTAGAGATCTTGCGCAGAAGTTTGAGAATGGTTTGGCCGCCGCTGAGAAATTGTCCGATGAGGTTCGTTAAATTATACTTTATTTATATTTGATAGACGCGGTGCTTGTTGCGTGTAACATAATAAAGGGTAAAAAGTATTTTGGTAGAGAGAGGAAAATGTAATGCCAAGATTTCTAAAGTATTAAGGGTATAGCAGTGTAGGCTGCATAACTTTGTATGCAGTCTGAAACTGAAAGTGTTGTACCGAACACATACTTTGTTGAATTTATATTTGTTTGTATACGGTGATGTATTGGGCTGTTCTTTTTTTTGGTGGATAATTGCAGTTTGCACTTTGAGGATTTGTACTTTTTTTTGAGAAAATTTGAGGATTTGTACTTAAATTTGGTCTGTGGTGTTCAGGCTAAATGGAGAGAAATGACTTCATTGGATAGACATGTTCTTCTGAAGAAGCTTAGGGATGTTCTTGAGGCTCTTAGAGGGCGAGTAGCTGGTCGGAATAAGGATGATGCTGATGAGGCCATCTCCATGGTTGGTATTCCTTCTTTAGACTTGTATATAACTTATGCTTGTTTTAACATTAACATGCATACCATTTGGTACAAATCAATTATTCTTTTTTTACTAATGGGATGTGTTGATATTTATTCCTAAAGAAGTTGAGTAACTGTATGATCCTTAAATCTTACATCATGGGAGTCTTGGCTATATGAACTTTGTACTATAACCTATAGGACAGTTTTTTGACATGCTATTTAATATAGGAAAACCTATATTATCTCATATTTATTCCTAAAGAACTTGAGTAACTGTATGATCCTTAAATCTTACAACTTGGGAGTCTTGGCTATATAAATTTTGTACTATAACCTATAGGACAGTTTTTTGACATGCTATTTAATAAAGGAAAACCTGTATCATCTCATATTTATTCCTAAAGAACTTGAGTAACTGTATGATCCTTGAATCTTACAACTTGGGAGTCTTGGCTATATAAACTTTGTACTATAACCTATAGGACAGTTTTTTGACATGCTATTTAATGTAGGAAAGCCTATATCATCTCCCTTCCTCTAGACTCTTTCTTATTTTACGGATTTTGAGGTTTTGGTGTTCACATGCGTACAAATGTGTGAAGGTAAGTGCTTCTACCCACAATCCTTCCTAAGTTTTGGTTGGTATTCCTTGTTTAGACATGTATATAACTTATGCTTGTTTTAGCATTAACATGGATATGATTTTGGTACTAATCAAATATTCTTTTTTTTACTAATGCGATGTGCTGATCTTTGTTCGCAAAGAACTTGGGTAACTGTATGATCCTTAAATCTTACAACTTGAGAGTCTTGCCTATAGGACAGTTTTTTTGACGTGCTATTTAATATAGGAAAACATATACCATATCCCCTTCCTCTAGAGTCTTTCTTACTTTACGAATTTTGAGGTTTTGTTGTTCACTTGAGTCTTAAGTGTGTGAAGGTAAGTGCTTCTACACACAATCCCTTCCTAAGTTTAGAGAATTTGGTTACATCTGGTCATAGCATAATTGACAGGATAAAATACATCACCTGTGTCTTGAATTAATCTCAGTCATCAAGCTGTTGCTTCAAGATGAATGGTCTCTCGTTCTCTGGTGCATGTGATGCATGCATTACATTATAAACTTGTGCTTAAAAAAATATTTTTAACACCTTAATAATCAATGCTAATATGAATAGATTCTTTGAAAATTTTCGCCAAAAGTTATATAAGTATCTTACAACTAGAAAATGTGGAGAGTGGGGGAAGTTATCAAGTAGTGGATGATAGTAAGAATGTTTTTAGATCTTTCCAATTTTGCCCTTCTAATTAGTTTCAGTTTACTATAGTTAATTGAGGACATATGTTGAATTGTTTGAAATCTTGACGGACATACGGCAGAACCAAAAGTGTGTCTTTTCTTAAATACAGTAATAGGTAATAAAGATTTTGATAGTTAAGACGTTGGAGAGAGGTGAAAAGCCCTTGTGATTTCTTGTAATAAGTGCTTAACTGGATTCTTTTTCATTACATTTACTGTGTGTATCTTATTGGGTATTGGGCTTAGCTGCTCTGACAGGACTGGTTTTGAAGTATTATTGTATAGAAGTATATTATTTAGCTTTAAATGTGCACAGGAAGGTTCAGGGCAGTCTTTTGTTCATTCTTGTTGGTTTTTATGTCAATTCAATTGTTGTGAGTTACCTTTCCATTTCATTATTTTATTTTCTATATATCTTTCTGCACTTCCTGTTAAATTGTTGCTAAAATGTGATGCTTTTGTGTGCACATCTGGACGTGGAGATATCATGTCATAATTAACATATTTGTCACATTTGGTGTTGTTACATATATAATTGTCCTTTTTATGTACATGGGAGTTTCACTTAATCTTCAAAACTGACAATACTTCTCCTTTATCACCATTTTAGTCATTAGCTAAAATTTTTTGAAGGTATGTACACATATTTCTTGGAATGCAACAGTTGATGGCTTACACAATAAGCTAAACTTTTAATAAGGGCTGTCCAAAATGAAATGGGATACTTTGAGAAATGTTGATGAATTTCTCAGGATATGTTATTTATGGAAGGTGCTATTGTAGAATTTAGCAGCCTTGCCAATTTGTTTGTTTATTCAAGTACCTTTACACACATTTTGGGAACTTGACATTTTTTCCTCTTCTGATAGGTAGAGGCTTTGGCGGTTCAATTGACTCAGAGGGAAGGAGAGTTGCTCCATGAGAAAGCCGAAGTCAAAAAACTAGCAGCCTTCCTTAAGCAGGTAATGGCAATTTACTTGTAAAAATATGTTGTTTATTTATTATTAAATTACTGACTCAACAAAGATTACCCAAGCTGATCTTTGCATGCGGTCAAATGCCTACACATACACACCATAGAAAGAACCTCCTTTTTATATTCCATCGTGTCCTTATTTTCAATGTTTCCTTCGATTATTTCCTTAACTTGATTTGCAATGACACTTGGGGTTCTTTTTCTTGAATGCTTATTGCATAATAGGAATTTGCTTTTTGTTGATCTAGTGATACTATGGAAATCTCATGTTTAATATTAATTTCAGGCTTCCGAAGATGCCAAAAGGGTAGTTGAAGAAGAAAGGGCTTTTGCTCGTGCAGAAATTGAGAGTGCCAGAGCAGCAGTACAGAGAGTTGAGCAGACCTTTCAGGAACAACAGCATATTCCTAGAAGTGCAGAGATACAGGTGCATAGTTATGTATTGTAAATGTGATATAATCTTCTTTCGTTTAGACTAACTGCGAACGAGTAGTTTAAGCTTATTAATGGTCAACATTTTATGGGAGGATACAGAAACTTTTAACTTGACTTTAAGTACCGTCCTGGATATTAGTCCTTTAAATCTTTAATGTTTTGAAATTAGCCCCTCAAATCATTGAAATTGCTATAAAGTCCCCCAATCCCTAAGTTATTTCAAAATTAGTCCCTCAGATCGTTGAAATTACTGTTAAATCCCCAATTTTGATAAGTTGTTTCAAATTAGTCCCTCCAATCAAGCGTAGAAGTAGGAATTAGAGGTATTAATTTGAAACAACTTATGATATTTGGGGAGCTAATTTCAATTTCAATGTTTTGAGCTACTAATTATAGTTATGATTTAAGGGACAAATACCCAAAAAATCCCAAATGTCAAATACCAAGAGATAGACCAGTGTTTCTAAAGTTGATGTTAAAGTTGCACAATGGAGGAAGACTACAGTTAACTTTGACTGCAATTATTTTATACATCAGTCTACTCTTTATTTTCATCTTATGGACAGAATACTGGCTGATTTTTTTTATGCTTGTCAGCTTCTCAGTGCTAGTGCTAATCTATCATTATTATTGTCAGATGTTTTTTATTGCTTCTTGCTATTTGATGCATCCTTCTAACATTGTTAAATGTTTTAAACTTTAAGGACTTGGAGGAACTAATGAAAGAGGTTCAAGACGCTAGACGAATCAAAATGCTGCATCAACCTAGTAGAGTGAGTCTCAATGTCTAATACATTCAGTTTGCTAGAAACTTCGTTTAATTATTCTGGGCTGGTCTCCCTCTGGGGGTCTATTTCTACTCTTGGCATCAGAACTTATTAGTTTTTGCATTTCTATTGGTCCTTTTTTATCTGCTTACAAGATACCTAACTCTTATGCTAGGTTATGGATATGGAATATGAACTTGAAGCATTGCGGATTCAGCTTTCAGAAAAGTCTATGTGCTGCATTCAGCTCAAGAAGGAGGTTAGGTTCTTCAAATTTCTTCCCTGTGTGGTTATTTCTTAATGAAAAATGTGTTTTTGGTCCCTTACATATTTATTTTCTTTGATGCTTTTGCATTTTTTTAAATTTTCTATCCTCCATGTTTTGTAACTTCTCCCTAGCTTATTAGGAAGGCAATTTTTATGGTATATAAGATTTTCATTTGAAAGTCGAAACAGTAAGTTATAGAAAAATTACATAAAACAACTTGTTTTAGTTGAAAACTAGTACTATTATCTTATACAGGGAATATGCTTCATTTGTTTGATAAATACTTTTAAGTGAAATGCAGATGTATCTTTTTGCATATTGTACATCTCTTTTAGTTGGAAGAGGACTATACCGTATATTATTGACTATATCTGTTGTTTTATCTTTCTTTGTCTGTCCAGCTAGAAAGAAGTAAAATGCTAAAGGATAATAGATCGCAGTTATATGAGCTCGAGGGTCCTGAAAGTCTCGGTTCATGCTTGCATATAGTACCACAAACAAATACTGCTCCTGACATATCTAGTTGTTCTATTCAGTGGTACCGTATGCTGCCTGAAGGAAGTAAAAGAGAACTGATTTCAGGTATTTTCATTCTATAAAATTTTCTATAAACATTCATGACATGGCATTCTCTATCACACATGTGCATGCTTAGAAAAGGTTAATTGCGGATAGACCGTAGTATCATTGTTCTGAACTTACTACCCCTGTAGCTATATTCTTGCAGCTGGACCTCCAGTGATTTTTTTTCACTCTATTACCCGCAGAGAAAGAGTTCTTTGTTTTATACAAATAAACACCCTGAAGAAAAAAAGAATAACAAAGTTTTCACTCAGGGTGTCTACCTGCCACAATAAAACTAGAGGGGCAGTAAGTTAAAAACAGGGATACTAGAAGGGTTCGATCCACAATTAATCCAAAAAAAACAAAAGTTTTGTTTCTTCATACTTAACGAAAGATGGAAATATTAGCATGGAAAATTAGAGAACAACAAAGAAAGTAAAGCCTTTGTGATAGATATATAGGATTGGCTATGTGCATTGTTCTCTCCATTTACTTGCAAATTATAAAAAGTGGACATAGAGCGTGTACTTCTTTTAAGAACCATGCTTCGGGAGATACATTCCAACAAAGTTAAAATGCTAATTGTATGATGATCTTTTTGTTGCAAGACTTGCTTTAGTTTCATGCAGCAATGTGGATAAATACCCTTTGGTTGGCTACCTGTACTGCATTCCAATGTTTTGGTCATATTAGATGTATAGCAAATTTGTGAAACTATAACCTGCAATAATCTTGGAAATTATTGCAACTTGTATAGAAGCGATCAATCAAGCTGTGGCCAGGAGTGATCAGTATTGTGGTCACAGCGTAAAGATCTCCTTGGTCAAGGATGAACCAAATGAATCTTGGATCAAGGAGTAAAAAATAAACTTGACGGTTGTTCAATTACTTAAAAAGGTGTCAGAATCAAAAGAGGATCGCCTAATAGAATTAAAATAAATATGAATAGTATAGTTTTCGACGTCTTTCTAAAGGATTTCTGAAATTTTAGTTATTTATGGAGCTCTTGCAAGATAAATAATTATGTGGTCTTTCGAAAGAGCTTGCTAGCAGCTGATTTCTTTAATTAGAACGCGACAAGTTAAATTGCTATGTAAACATCTTTTCAGTGGTATGATAGACGATGCTTTGAATTTTCAGTCCCCTATAGTTATAATTCCATGTTGATGTCTTTTAGTGATATGTTGCATTTTTTGGTATGTTGTTTTGTGCGTGTTATCTTTCATCAGTAAATTGAGTTGTCTTTATCCAGATAGTCTCTCAAGTGATTAATACTTTCATGTTCCTTTGTTTTTGTTTTTCAGTAATAAGTCTCATTGTTTTTCCAAAAAATTGTTATATGCAGGGGCAGTTAAATCAGTCTACGCCCCAGAGCCTTTTGACGTCGGAAGATTCTTGCAAGCAGAGATCACTCTGAATGATGAGAAATTCATATTGTCAACAACCACACCAATAGAGTCAGGTTAGATTTCTTTTCTTTATTATAACTTGGCAATTATCGTCCTTCTGAGGTTTTCATTAGGAACCATTACATCACTGTGAAAATAATTGCTAAATTGCTGAGTCTCTTGAGACTCACCATTGAAAGTTAAAAGTTTCAACTTTCATAATCTGAACATTAACTATATTCCTCGACATCCTAAATTGACATTTACATTACCCTATATGTATAATATTTCCTTAAGCCTGCTATATGTTTGTATATTTACTTAGCTGTATGTTGATTGCAAGAACAATATACCAGTCTAAGATATATATGTCATTGAAACCAACTAACTTTCTAGTCTTTGGGACAGCGGCAGGATTGGGAAACTATGTGGAGTCGCTTTTAAGAAAGAGTGACAATGAGTTTAATGTAAGATTTAACTTATGTTCAACATTTTCTATTTTTTCTGTTATTTGTCCTTCTTTACTGAAAGGTGGCATCTTTGAACATGTTTGTAATACTGTTAAGATGCACCTGAAATTCCTTTTTAATTCAGTGATGATATTGCATGCTGGTTAGGATAATGGGACCACAAGCAAACACATGAAAATGAGAAAAATAAAGGATTCATCAGATATTTTTTCTTTGGGTGTCATAGATTTGGCTTTGATCATATTGTGATTTTTTTTTCAGGTGGTGGTGGTTCAAATGAACGGAAATGATCATCCATCTGAATCTGTTCACACATTCCATGTTGGGAAACTCAGGATAAAGCTTCGAAAAGGAAGGAGTACAAAGGCTAAGGAATCATATTCCACTTCAATGCAGGTACTTTTTTCTAGTGTCTAAACCTTAATATTATATAAACCTATTTGTGCCATCTCTAAGAAGTACACAACATTTGTGTTGGATAATAGTAGATAATTTAATATGTATTAATTAAGTAGCTTTTCTGCCCTATTTTATTGCAGTTATGTGGAGTTAGAGGTGGTGGTAGTGCTGCTGCTCAGTCACTTTTCTGGCAAGCTAGGAGAGGCTTCTCCTTTCTACTAGCTTTCGAATCAATAAGAGAAAGGAATGTGGCAATAATGCTTGCTAGGAGATATGCTTTTGATTGTAATGTAAGTAATTTTTTCCCCCCATAGATTCCATGAATCACCTTAATACTATTCCTATTATCCTATATTACCTGGGTACCTCTATATGAAGCCGTACCTGTACCCGACACATACCCGCACCTGCACCCGCACCCGCACGCGCATCCGCCCCCAAACTTTTTGGACTTCTTGATTATATGCATATGTTTTAATTTAGTCAGCCATGTACTCAATTATATAATACATGTTTTAATTTGAAAAACTTGTCATACAATTATTGGATGTATATCCTACACTTCATATCTACTTTTTGCAAATTGTTGGACATGGGTCAAGTTCATTTCAACCTATACCCAGTTAAGAACTATGATTTTAAAGGGTCATTTGGACATCTAATTATAAAGCAAGCTGTTTTCAAGTTTATAATCTTCATAAGTGGAAACATTAAAACTTTATAGGAATTTTAATTCTCATAACATATGGGATGAATATTGATCTCATCATGCAAGTTATTAACTTTAATACATATAAGTATACATAAATATAAATATACATATATAGCCGTATCCTGTACCCTACCTCTGTTATATTGCGACTTAAATATAAAATAGACTCAACACTCGCTGTGCATTCTCTCTTTCTCACATAAACCTGATACATCATACTAGTTTATTGTTCAGGAGATATTTAGGACTATCTAGAATGTATATAAGAGAAATAGAACATACTTGGTATTCAAGTTCATGCAAATTACCATAATAAGTTAATATTTTAGCTCGATTAGTAAGACTTAACCTAAATATAACATTACAAGTATCATGTGCAGGCATGCATGGACTGGTCCTTACCCCATGGACCAATTGTATAGGTAAAAAATGATGTATGATTTTAGGCATGCAGAACTAGATGAAAAAGTAGGGTTGTGTTTGGCTATCACTGGAAAACTGGATCAGGATTGATCCTGAACCAGTTTTATCGTAGCCATGATAGGAATAAACCGAGGGGAGGTGGTCCATCCTTAAAAGGCTTTAACCAGTTGATGGCCCTCTATTGGCCTAAGGAAAACTGGCCCTTTTTTTTTGCCCCCCAAAAATCCAAAAGATCTGGATAAAGGCTTTGTAGTCATCGACGTAGTTGTAAGTGATGTTCTATTATTTTTGTAGCCAACCCTGTTGATTTCTTTTTCTATTTGCTTGTAGCTAACAATTAACTACATGATTTTTGGCAGATTATGCTTGCTGGCCCAGAAGATCGGTCACCGGTTGGAACCTAAATAAACTAAATTAACAAGATCTACTATCCAATAGCGCAAGTATATAGGGAGGGGGTTTACAGGGAATTGTATTTATTTGTAAGGTGTATACTGTGTAGGCTTGGTAGCCAAAGGCATCCTTTTATTTGCCTTCTCATGAGGTTTGTAACAATTTGGGCTTCTGAATTTAACTCTAATTTTCTTTTATACTTGTTGAGTCCAACGCCATGGCTCACTGTTACATTCGCATCCGCTTCAGTTCATTTGAAGAGGTGTCGGCTTTGTAAATGGATATGTTTTTCTTTTCTAAGACCGGTTGGGGTGAAGATTATTCTTTATTTGCTTATTTAGTAGCATCTTTCTTGTTGTATCACCGTGAGGATTCTGGGAAGATCTTGGATCTCCGTAATCTTATGAATGATTACTTGCTGATAGACCCCTCTATGGTTCTGTTGTGTTGGAAACTATATTTATGTCAGAACGATAGCAAGGAGATGGTCTTTGAGATTTACGACGGGGGTTGTGGAGGAGATGGAAGGGGAACAGAAGAGGAGGGAGGGGAGCGGAGATGAAGATTGCGGATGAGATGGGCGAGAGGAGGATGGACAAGCGTTGGGACGGGGACAAGGGTTGAGACGGAGAGGAGACGAGGGAGCAAAATGAAGCTGGGTGGAGGAAGATTTTACAGATGAAAAATATGCGCTGAAGGGGTTTATCGCATGAAAAATTGAATTTTGACGCATCGGTAACAAAACCAAAGTAACTCCAAAACAAAACTCAAATTCAACTACTAGTCATTCATGATTACTACTACACTACTAGATGAACATAGCAAAAACCTGTGATCATGATTATATACTGAAAATTTATCCAACAAAAGAACCAAAATAAGTTCCTCCAAAACATAGAAACTCAAACTCCAAATACTGCTACTTTCTACTTACTAATATATAGCAAACTTTCCCCCATCATCAGTAAGATGAACTCACACCCAAAACGAAAAACAGCAAACCACAACTCAATTCAAATCCAAAGCCTTCAACTGTTCAATCAGTTGCATTGCAGGGGGATTCAATGCCACTGCGCCTAACTCCACACTTGAGTACTTCTTGTACACAAACTTCAACTTGTCCTGCGGCGCTTCAGCATGACACCTAACCAGAATCTGCACGCAATCACTGAAACAACCGAAAACAAGCACACCAATTCAAGAGAAGATCAGCAAAATTATTAGACTGAGCGTTCAAAAACTCACAATAGTTGCGCATCAGAGAATCCAGTGTGCCTCTTGAGAGTTTCAGTCCATAAAGGGCTCTTCTTGAGTACACAACGAGCAGCGTAGACCGCAGAGGCCGCCACCATTGATGGGCGGTACTTGATCATTGAGTACTGCATCAGGCCAAGCTCAGCCAAGAAGAAGACCATGTGTTCCATCTATTTATTTATCAAAAGAGTCGAGACTCAGCGGAAAAAAAAGTGATTATATTTGCAGTATTGGTTGTTTTTTATTACCTCTTTATCGGCCATTGCAGCTTTGAGGAAGCGAACAAGGAACATGTAGGGAGTTGGTACAGTTAGGCTCCATTCGAGGACGTTAAGGATCTCTTTCTCCATGGTCAGTACCTGTTCTCGGCTATAGGCTCGATCTGATATGCAAATGAAATCGTTAACCTGTATAGAAAAAAATTGAACAATCAAGAAAATGCAGGTAATCTTTTTTTGCAAGATTCGCATCACATGATGAGGGATTGCACAATCAAGACAATTCAGGTAAAATCTGCAAACTTTGCATCATTTTAGATAGGGGTTTAGGGGGAAAATTTGGTTCAGATCAGCTATTGCACAAATCAAGCCAGTGCCGGTAAATTTTTAAACAATTTACATCACATATTTAGATACAAGTTCAGAAAAATTGGTTCACTTTAGTCATCGACTTGTATCAAATTGCAGAATCAAGTAAATACAGATATTTTTTGCAAAGTGTGCATCATATTAGATATGGGTTCAAGAAAAGTTTTGGTTCAGGTTGCCATTACACAAATAGTTAACCTGTTCAAACTTGCACAATCAAGCAAATGCCAGAACGTTTTGCAAAATTTGCATCGTTTTAGATATTGATTCAGATTAGCTATTGTAATAAATTGCACAATCAAGTAAATGCAGGTAGCATTTTAGAATCTGCGTCATTTCAGGATATGAGTTCAGAAGAACTTTGGTTCAAAGTAGCTATTACATTACCTCTGGAGCCCAAATTTCTTCATACTTGCAGGCAATGAGCATGGAGCTGACCCCAACAAGTTGCAGCTCTCTCCTGAGCACCTTCTTCATCGAAAGATATCGATCAATTATATAGAAAGTAAGATAAAGAGACTCCGGCATCAGCTCAAATTTGTGATGCACTTCAATCAGCCAGTCTGCCAGAATAGCTCTCATCTTTGCATTAATCTCCATTTGAGACTCCATATAATCACCCGGCCTACTCAAGTTCTGAAATCAAATGAAAACAACCATTTCATATGCACACAATCAATCAATTCTTGGTTGAAATTTGAAAAAAAAATGTACCTCAGAAATCTTATAAAACTTGTAGATTTCCTCGATGTAGTCCACAACAGCCAGCTGATCCCCAGCATCTGATGCATCGATATCAGGTATCGGCTCTATGAGCTTATGGTTGATCCCAGAAGCAGCTTTGCTGCGAGCAGTTAGTACTGAGGTCATAGTGTGAACTTTTTTCCTTGATGATCTTTTCTTTGTTACTTCGTCCGAATCGGGGCTAATTTCGATTATGACTTCAGCAGGTTTTGGCTTGACTGAGACCTTGGGCTTAGTTTCTCTAATTTGGGCCTTTTTCTGCACCTAAACAAGTATAAAATCAATAAAATTTCTCTAAAAGAAGAATATGATGCAATTTTATTACCTGAGCATTGGCAAGGAGCTGAGCACCGAAATTCCTGGTCAGGAAAAATTCATATCAGACCACAACCTGAACAAGAATTTCAAAGTTGAATCTGAGAGAGGACATGACTGTAGAAACTGACCCTGTGATGGGCCGAGAAATCTGATGCTGGGGTTTGGCCTCGGCAGCAGGTGGGGCCCCGGCTGGGACGAGATTTCCAATGTCTCCGAGGGCTCGGCGGTGCTTGCCATCAGCCGCATTCTTTTGTTTGCCTTTAGGTACAACGGCACCTCCTTCTGGTAATTGTTACAGAAAATTTTTCTATAAAAAATCTTGAACTAATTCAAAAGAAAATGTCATCTACAGAAAAATCTCAAGAGACACCCAGATGAAAAAAATGTGGAAGGAAAAAGAAGAAAGAAAAAAAAAAGAAAAGAAAAGAAAAGAAGTTGCTAGAAGGGGGAACATAAAAATAAAATCCTCATAAAGACTTGTATAATTCAAATAAAAGGAGAGACACCCAAATGCATTCTGACCAAATTATTCAAAAAATAAGATCTGAAATTGAAAAATCCTGGTAAAAATCCCTTACAACGTGAAATGAATCAATACCCAGCAAAGAAAACTACTCAAGGAGCAAATTTTTAACCGCACGAAATGCAAGAAATTTGTTCCTTGTGATAAAAAAAAGTACCTGTTTTCTGCTGATGATGAGGAACCGTGACTTGATTCTTGGTAGCCATTGTGATTTCTTGCTCTTCTTGGTTCGGTCCGAAGATCGTCGAGAACACTGAAGAAAAGAATGATTGCAGACGGGCTGTCCGAGACTCGCCCTCCTCGTTCACAGCCGTCGCCACCGTTAGATTTTGATGAGAAAATTTCCCCCCCCCCCCCCCCCCCCCCCGAAATTTTCTCTTTTTTCTTGATCTCAAAATGACTGTTTCTTTCTCTGGAGCTGTGTTTATGATCTTGGAGTTGAATGAGAGTTTTTTTTTAAATGAAAGGGATGTGGGTTGTTTTGTAAGGAAAGGATGAGGCAACGGTCGAATTTATGTTTTAAATTCCAACGGTAAAATTGGTAGTGCGGTGAGAATAAAACGATCAACGTTAGTGTTGTTAATGGGCCGGGGAATATTTTGGGCCGAAGTTGTATGCTTTTGGGATCAAAGGTCCGCTCCTGCACGTGTCTATGCAGGTGAAGCGACGTGATTGGGTCTTGTTATGCTTTTGTTTCAGTGAGTGTTTGGTTCAATTTCTATAAAAAAATAGGAAAAGGAAAACACCCAAAATATAAATTTCCTTGTATTTTTATAAAAAATTATAGGAAAAGTTTTGAGAATTCAAAAAGTATAAATTTTCTTATTTCTTGTAATTTCTTCATTTGGCTCAAAACAAGAAAATTGGCTCATTACTTTATAGAAATCGCAAATTTTTCTTTTCTTTTGTTTGGTTGCATATAAAAAAATTATAGAAATTTTTTCTTAATCTTATTTATCCACTATCCATAAACACAAAATTTCACTCCCCACCAAGAACCATCCATTCCCAGTCTCACTCCCCAACAAAAATCGCTCACCGATAATACTCTCAATAATCACTCTCATTAATCCCCCAAAATTCCTCCTCCATCAACAAACCAAATCAAATGGCGGTGAGCAACAACATAATCGCGTTCCTGAACTTCCTCTCCCTTGTCTTCTTCTTCCCCATAATCGTCCGCAGCGTCTAGATCTCCACGTGAGCCGACGTCNCCTGCCACCACTTGGCCTGCTGGCCCCTCCTCCTCCTCGTCTCCGTTGCCGGCTTCGTTGGCGCCTACTAGAATCGCCAACACCTCTTTGTCGCCTACGTCTTCGTCATGGCCGCCCACATCGCCGCCCTCCTCATCCTCCTTGTCTTCGCCTTCGTTGTGACCCAACCCGACAGAGGGTATTGAGTTGAGCGACCGAACCTTATAAATTTTTTCGCCCTGAATATCCCACGAGAAAATAGATTTGGGTGGGACATAGAGCATGGGTGAAGTTTTATTATTTTTATATTTGTGTTGTCAGATTTCTGAGTGATTTTCGCCCATTTTGAGTGGAAATTGATTTCTATAAAATGAGGTATTTTTTCCTAATTTATAGAAAACTTACTTGCCGCCACCTTCTCCTGTGCCTCTCCTGAACGCCGGCCGCTTCCTTCTCCAGTGCCTCTCCTTACCACCAGCCGCCACCTTCTACAGTGCAAACTCTGGTTCCCATACCTCTCTAGGCTTTGCCATTTTTATTATTATCAGAAACTTTTGGTTTTTGTGGTGGGGTTTGATGGTGAGATTGGTATTAATAGAGAGATGAGAATGTAAGGGGAGATATTGGAGAGAAGACAAACGGAGTTGAGAATTACCGATGAGAGTGGTCATGGTAGAATTTGGACAAAGAAATGATCAGTTGTTGATACTGAGACAGTGATGTGAAAAATCTGTGGATGAGCATTAAGGGGAGAGGGAGATTCCAACAAGATTTCTTCTTATTTTTGTTCATTTTGTTATTCGAAATTGTAAGATTGTTTTACAAGGACCGGTTATTCATCCAAAAGATTTTGTAGATTGTTTTACATAGCAACTATTAGTGCCTGAATTGGGCTTGATGTTTAGAAGTTAGCTTAGTGATGTGGTAATACCAATTTGCACAATTGTAATAATTACACCTGTAATTATTTAACTCATTTAGATAATCGATTAATTAATTGTCACGTATAAGAATATTTTGTATATTGTATAATCTTCAAAAAAGGTTCATCTATGTTAGTTGTTATGTTCTTATTTTGTTGCACGTGCATGTGTTTGATCTTAATGGTAGCTTGTTTAGTGAAAAAAGTATAACATTGATATAATACTAAAGCTGGCTTATGTTTAACTTTGTCTGCAGTAAACCTATGGCTATAGAAATAGTCAGAATTCCATCCAATGTGCTTTGGCAGGGACTTGATAAATTATGAGCTTTGGGTTGTTTGGTTTTTTCTTTAGGAACTTGAGAGATCCAAAGGACAAAGGACCCTCTTGTATTTTGTTAATCATAATGCAGAAATTAAGAATAAGCTCCATTGAGTATTGGTTATCTTGCAGTCGATTGCTATTGCTCAGCGTTTGTATAATTGGGCTTTCTGATATGAAAGATCGTGTTTATCTGATGTAAAAAATGGTCCATCATAACAAGTTTTGCCTCCTTATATTCTATTTGCAACTCAAGTTTCTCAGTTTTCTAATATGTAAGTATAGCGAGATAATTTAAAAGTATAGCGTGATAATATGTAAGTATAGCGGGATAATCTGAAAATATAGTGGCATAATCTAAAAATATAGCGGCATAATCTAAAAGTATAGCGGGATAATATGTAAGTACAATCGGATAATCTAAAAATATAGCAGGATAATATGTAAGTATAGCGGGATAATCTGAAACTATAGCGGGATAATATGTAAGTATAGCGGGATAATCTGAAAATATAGCGGGATAATATGTAAGTATAGTCGAATAATCTAAAAATATAGCGGGATAACATGTAAGTATAGTAGGATAATATGAAAGTATAGCGGGATGATCTAAAAGTATAGCGGGACAATCTAAAATTAATAAAGTTAAGATTTGTTTATACATTAAATTATACATTAAATTAAAGTGATGAATATCCATCAAAATCAAGCAACCACATCCTATGCATTAATGAAATTGAGAAGAGAGAGGGAAATTAATTAATGGGTTTAGTAGAGTAGATGGATGAAATAATGAATAAGAGAGGCGAATTAATTGAGAAATTAAGAGAGAGAGAGAGACCTAGATATTTTTTTCTCTCCCGCGCCCAACCGAGAAAGAGAGAAAGCGCAGGAACAGTCTCTCCCTCTCTTAGTGATTTTCAATTAATTTAGTTTTTAAATATTTTTAAGGGGCCCACATAAATTAGAACCAGGGAGATATGAGAGAAGGGTATAATTGGGTTTTTTTAAAAAAATTTAAGGGGGGCCGACATATGTATGTATTGTATTTTAGAAGTTAGGTTTAGAGATAAATACATGAAGTTATTTGAGTCAATGATACAAAAATAAGTTATTGGGTTTATAGATAAATCATGGTAAACAATTGGGCCTAAAAATAAAAACCCTTAAAGTTTAAAATGATGACGACAAATATAATCCCTTCCATTGTGGCCCAAAGGGCGGGAAATGGAGAAGGAACAAATGGAGCACAAATTGTATACAAGTAAAAGACTTGTTGGCAGAACTCTAGCTGAGTTTGTAAGCTATCTATGAGTAGTACTCCAAGATCTCAGGTTAAACTCTTTTGGAGAGCACTCATATAAACTTAATTTTCTAAAATACCCAAGATCGTGCGTGGGGTTGCCCCTTAGCCACATACAAAGGTGTGATAACCATGGTCCTAAAGATTGTGGGAGGTTCCTCGTAAAAAAAAGTAAAAAAGATAGCATATCATCTTAAACAAATTGAAGCTAACAGAGGATGTACAAAAGTCGAACATTACAAAATTCTGCCCCATGTTCACAATTCTCCACCTCGGTGAAGTTTTCCCAAAACTGAACTGACACCAATACCAACCAAAATATCCCACTTGTTGCGTCCAGTACAAAGTGGAAGAATTCCATGATAACAGACTCAATCCACAACAAGTCGAGAACCCAAATGAGAATACGAACAATCTCCAAATGTCGGTATCGTTACATCAAACCGGCTGCATCATAAATGACTGCCTACGTATCCTCTTGCCCAAGGAATCAAGCATTCACGTAGTTCACCCAAATGGCTGCCAACGGCCTCAACAATCACAAATGTGCAATAAGTTTCGACAATGATCAAACTTATTGCTCGGAACCACCTTAGTGAGCATATTCGCCGGATTATCCATCGTGTGGACTTTCACAATCTTCACATCGCCATCTTCAAGAATATCACAAATGAAGTGATAATGAATGTCAATGTGTTTTATCCTCGCATGAAAAACTTGATTCTTCACCAAATATATAGCACTCATGCTATCACAATAAATAGTGACGGACCGCTACGATTCCTCTAAAAGTCCTCGAAGCCAAATAGCTCATTCACAGCCTCCGTAATTGCCATATACTATATCTCTGTCATAGACAAAGCCACCATCGACTGTAAGGTGCATCTCTAACACACCGACGCACGGGTTAAAGTGAACACATACCCCATCGTAGACCGGCACTTATCTAAATCTCTGGTATAATCCGAATCAACATATCCAAGCATAACTGCCCACCTGTAGTGTCCCGCTCATAAACCAAACCAACATTGAGCGTACCTCGAATGTACCTCAAAATCCATCTCACGACGTCCCAATGACCAACTCCTGGATCGTGCATGTATCTCGAAACCATGCTCACCGCTTGTGACAAATCTGGTCTCGTATATACCATCACGTACATCAAGCTTCCAACCACGCTTGCATATGGAGTCTTCAACATCAACTCTCGATCTTCAACCATCTTCGGTGAAAGATCAGCTAAAAGCTTCAAATGGGCTCCCAATAGTACACTAACTGGCTTCGTATCCATACTAACATGAAATCGCTGTAGAATCTTCTTCAAATAAGCCACCTGTGTCAAACAAATTCTGCCCTTCTTCTTGTCTCTGTCGATCTCCATCCCTAAAATGTGCTTCGCCTCACCTAAATCCTTCATCTCAAACTCTTTTGAAAGCTGTGCCTTCAACTCGTCTATAGCAGATCTGAAAAAAGAGGCAACTAACAAATCATCGACATAAAGTAACAAATAGATGTACGCACCTCCTTTCAACTTACAAAAATATACGTAAGGATCAAATTAGCTCCAAATGTACGAATGACCAATCATAAAACCATCGAATCGTCTATACCACTGTCAAGAAGACTACTTCAAACCCTATAGCGATTTCTTCAATCTGTAAACTAATTTTTTCTTCCCTACAGATTGAAATCCCAATGGTTGAGTCATATATATTTCTTCATTAAGATCATCATGAAGAAATGTTGTCTTTACATCTAACTGATCTAACTCCAAACCATACCGTGCCACCAAAGCTAGCAAAATCCGAATCGAAGAGTACTTCACCACTAGAGAGAAAATCTCATTATAGTCAATACATTCCTCCTGTGCATATCCCTTCGCAACCAACCTAGTTTTGAATCTTAATAGAGTGCCCTCAATGCCCTTCTTCTTTGTATATACCCACTTGCAACCAATTGCCTTCCGCCCATTTGGAAGCTCAACAAGCTCCCACGTATCATTCTTATGAAAAGACTCCATCTCCTCCTGCATAGCTACCTGCCACGAACCAGCCTCCGAACTCTGCTCGGCCTCTCTGAATGTAGTAGGTACAATCTCATCGATACTCTCCACCGAAAGTGCATACACAACTGTGTCAGCATATCGTGCTAGCTTTTGTATGTCTTTCCTCTATCTCCGAACTGCAATAGAATCATGAACCTAAGCCGTCGATCCCTGATCCTGCATATCAGTACCCGTATCCTCCGTGTCACCATCGTGCTCGCCTGGTGCCACCTCAGTCGGCACTCTACTGGATACTACACCATCTGGACATTGTGAAGCTGCATCGATCTCCACCACCTATGATATCTCCTCTGTCGGGTCGCTCTCCACCTGATGAGAGCCAAAAAGCTTTAAGATAGAAGCCTCATCGAATGTGACGTCCTTACTCAGTACAATCTTTCTATTAACTGGATCCCATAGCTTGTATCCCTTGACACCATGCTTGAATCCTACAAATATATCCTTCCTAGTTCGAGGTTCCAATTTATCTGTTCTCACATGATAAAATACAGGGCACCCGAATACCTTTTGCTGGTCATAATCTCATGCTGGCTCTCCCGACCACATCTCCATAGAGGTTTTCACCTCATTCGCAGATGAAGGCAACCTAGTAATGAGGTGACTCGCATATGAAAGTGCCTCAGCCCAAAAGATCTTCTCCAAACCACTATGCGCCAACAAACATCGAATCTTCTCTAGTAAAGACTGATTTAACCTCTCTGCCACCCCATTTTGCTGTGGTGTATGACTAACCGTGAAATGCCTCTCTATACCCTCGTCTCGACATAGCTACAGAAAGGGGTCTGATGTGTACTCACCGTTGTTGTCGAATCACAACGTCTTGATCTTTCTCTCAGTCTGCAGTTCCAACCTCTTCTTTCACTCCATGAATATATCTAGGACTTCACTCTTCTTTGCCATAGTGTACACCCAATATCATCTAGAATAGTTATCAACGAACGTGACGAACCAATATCGACCACCAAATGATGTAGTCTTGGTGGGACCCCAAACGTCTATATGCACGTAGTCCAGGATACCTCTCGTCCTATGGATAGAAGTCCCAAATTTCACCTTCGTCTTTTTGCCAAGTACACAGTATTCACAGAACTCCACTTTACCACTCTTGGCTCCCTTCAATAGTCCCTGCTTGCACAGCGCCTACAGTGATTTCTCGCCTGTGTGCCCTAACCTATAATACCAAAGCCTGCTTATGCCCGCTTCTGAAATAGCCGAAGCAACCTGGCCAATCTCGATGCTCCCCTTCAGATAGTATAAATTTCGACTGTAGACTCTCATCATCACCATAAAAGATCCCTTAGTAACCTTCGCTACATCATTTTTAAAGGTCACCTTGAATCCCTTTATCTCCAAAGCTCCAACTGAGATAAGATTCTTCTTTAGCTGAGGAACAAATCTCACCTCCTTCAATTCACGAACTACTCCATCGGGCATCTGGATCCGCATAGTATCTATCCCACAAATACCACAGGACTAATCATTTCCCATGTCTACAACTCCCCCATCGATCTTCTCAAAAGATGCAAACCAATCTCGCCTAGGGGTCATATGATAGGTAGCACCGAAATCAAGCATCCAATCTGATGCATCCAAGTGGTTCATCTCCGGAGTAATCAGTAGAGAAAATCTCGAATCATCGGAATCATCGCCTTTCACAATATTCACCTCATTGGCCTTCGGGCCCTTTTTCTTGCTAGTCTTATTCTCTTTGATCTTTGGATAATCTCTTTTCCAATATCCTTGCTCCTTGCAGAATACACATCAGTTCTTTTCTAGCTGGTGATGACCTCTTGACTTTGACCTTCCACTATTACCACCTTTCGGATATGAGCTTCTACCTCTCGTGGACAAGGCCTCGCCTGAAGTACTAGCACGGGAAGTCTTCTTGTCCTTCCTCCTCAAATCATAATTCGTCAATGCATTAGTAACTTTACTAGAGCTGATAGAACCGTTCAACAAAGTGAGCACAAAGGTATTATATTCCTCATCCGGTAAGGATCCCAATAAGATAATAGCTTTGTACTCATCCGAAATCTTCTCATCAACATTCGCCAAGTCCGACAACAACTTCGTATAGTTATTCACATGAGCCACAAGCGAGATGCCTCTGGATATTTGAAATCTGAATAACCTACGCAGCAAGTGCAACCGGTTCTCAACACTTTTCGTAAAGTACTTATTGTTGAGAATTTCTCATATATTCATTGCAAACGTTACCCCAATCACATCATACTTCAGCTCATGTTCGAAACAGGACCCGGTCACCCCACAAGCGTTCATATTCATCTTTTCCTATATCGTCTCTTCATATTTTGGTGGTCTCTTATGGACCATGATGGTCTCCTCTAAGTTCTAAGCATTGAGAGCATCCTGTACGTCGCTCATCCACAAACCAAAATTGATTTTATCGTCATACTTCACCACACTAATTTTGATGTTATGAAAATTAACTTGAACTGTACTCGCCATCGTCTTGATACTTTCACCTTCTTTTCCTATTGCAAACTAACTCTAAGTTGTAGAGAAAGAATCAAACTTTGATAGAAATTAAAAATTACCCAACTGAACCCTAGATCAGATTCCAAATAGATCCCTTGTCCATATGAGGAAAGTAAAATCTCCAATGATAACTCCTAATGCTATCTCCACCGAAGTCTAGAACTCCAAGAACCAAGCTTCACATAAGAATCTTCCTCCTCCTAATTCCAAAACCCTAGATCTGAAACCTGAGGCTCTGATACCACTTATTGTGCGCAGCGAAAATTTTGACAGCACCTCGGCGCAACAAGAGAGTAAGATCATAATAAGAATTCCCGTTTCACCAAGGAAACAAGAATCAAAAGAAAAATATCTCAACAAAATGGGATATCAGCTCTTCCTCTCATCAGTTCTAGGACTGACCTGCCGAGGGAACCTAAATAAGCTATTACAAATCACACAACTAGCAAGATATACTAATTTTACGTGGTTCGGCAAATAGCCTACGTCCACGGGGCAAGGAGGGGGAGAGATCTACTATTTGAGGGAGAGAATATAAATAGGATTTACAATCACACAACTTAAACCTTCAAACAATCTCTCAAATCCCTCACAATCTCTCTCTCAAAAGGGGATGCACAAAACCCTTGCACAGCTGCCTACCTTCTCTGCGTTTCCCTGTTGCACACCGCCAAAAGTTTCGGCTGCGTTCTCACAAAGCTCAGCCGCAAGAGAACTCTGCGATTTTCCCCTGCCTAGCACCTCCTTTATGCACGAAACCCTATGTTTGCCATTTACTAGCTATATATAGCTGCAAATTGATATCGAGTGGGCCCTGCAAACTCA